TGATACAATGACCATCTCGTGTCTTCCTTTGTTTTTGAAAATCAGTCTTTGGTTTCAAAGTTTTTTGCAGAAAGTAAAATAAAAATGCCTAACTTCAGTTTCCCTTAAACTTCTCAATCCCTTCGCAGATTGAAGAGCTTCAGAAATCAGAACTATGGCCGATTACTATTAATTAAACCTAAACACAATAGCAAAAGAGCTACAACTCAACAATCATTAAAGATGACATTTACGAATAGAAGAATTTCTGGATGTGCGAATTTGATCGAGTGTTCGTCAATGGGGTTGATAAAGAGAAAAAATTGAAATACCTGAGAATAGAGTTGGCGGCTTCAACTCAAAAGTATGTGAACTGAGATCTTTGGCAGAGAGACGGAGGTTATATGGGTTTTCATTTCCCTCTCAAAATTTCAGCTGGCGCCTTTTTTCCAACAAAAACGGATGAGTCAGCATGTTTCTCAGCCTTTCTACACTCAGAAGGCCAATTTCACAGTGTGCAATTTTTTTTGACAGCTCAGCAATATAAAAAGATGGACTACCTGCGTTGGAGAGCAAAACAAATGCGTAGTGTTAAAATAAATGACGTGACGCATAAAACCTAGACTAAACAGCGGTGCATTGCTGTTGCTCTCAATTCACGAATTGCGCCGAAGACTCATTAGCAATAGGGTAAACCACTCGACAGTAATTGTGGTTAATGAAGAGTTTGTTCTCTTATTGATTCTACCATTTAGTACAGTCAAGGTTTCCTCTATCCCTCAATGGTGAAACTGGTAGTAGTTATATACAAATTTTATGCATGTAAAAAATGTATTGATAAAGAACCTAAAACGGAGTGGATAAATCCAAACTAATAATGCAATGTAATACAACTATATTCCACTAATAGCCTCTAGCAGAGCTACTGATAGCTTAAAAAACTGTGATTCCTCAAACTTTTCTCTCCTTTGGTTTGTGCCTCATAGCTTCCTTAGCCTAATCGCTTTGGGTGTAACCTGTATAGGAAACAATAAGCGCATAATGAAAGACAGCATACAAGATTCTGCCTTGTGGGCAAGAGAGCTATATACTACGACTGACAACCAACCTATCACTAATAGAGTAACAGTGATCAATAGTCAACAAAGGATAACTCAAGTCATCTAATGCAAGATACATATCAGTTCGATCTACTGAACACACTTCTGAACGATCTATATTCAGAATTCCTCCGAATGCAGTTGAGAAAAAGTTAACTGCACAGTCTGCACAGTTGACAAATTTTATGCATGTAAAAAATGTATTTATAAAGAACCTAAAATGGAGTGGATAAATCCAAACTAATAATGCAATGTAATACAACTATATTCCACTAATAGAATAAACTGTGATTCCTCAAACTTTTCTCTCCTTTGGTTTGTGCCTCATAGCTTCCTTAGCCTAATCGCTTTGGGTGTAACCTGTATAGGAAACAATAAGCGCATAATGAAAGACAGCATACAAGATTCTGCCTTGTGGGCAAGAGAGCTATATACTACGACTGACAACCAACCTATCACTAATAGAGTAACAGTGATCAATAGTCAACAAAGGATAACTCAAGTCATCTAATGCAAGATACATATCAGTTCGATCTACTGAACACACTTCTGAACGATCTATATTCAGAATTCCTCCGAATGCAGTTGAGAAAAAGTTAACTGCACAGTCTGCATAGTTGACAAATTTTATGCATGTAAAAAATGTATTTATAAAGAACCTAAAATGGAGTGGATAAATCCAAACTAATAATGCAATGTAATACAACTATATTCCACTAATAGCCTCTAGCAGAGCTACTGATAGCTTAAAAAACTGTGATTCCTCAAACTTTTCTCTCCTTTGGTTTGTGCCTCATAGCTTCCTTAGCCTAATCGCTTTGGGTGTAACCTGTATAGGAAACAATAAGCGCATAATGAAAGACAGCATACAAGATTCTGCCTTGTGGGCAAGAGAGCTATATACTACGACTGACAACCAACCTATCACTAATAGAGTAACAGTGATCAATAGTCAACAAAGGATAACTCAAGTCATCTAATGCAAGATACATATCAATTCGATCTACTGAACACACTTCTGAACGATCTATATTCAGAATTCCTCCGAATGCAGTTGAGAAAAAGTTAACTGCACAGTCTGCACAGTTGACAAATTTTATGCATGTAAAAAATGTATTTATAAAGAACCTAAAATGGAGTGGATAAATCCAAACTAATAATGCAATGTAATACAACTATATTCCACTAATAGCCTCTAGCAGAGCTACTGATAGCTTAAAAAACTGTGATTCCTCAAACTTTTCTCTCCTTTGGTTTGTGCCTCATAGCTTCCTTAGCCTAATCGCTTTGGGTGTAACCTGTATAGGAAACAATAAGCGCATAATGAAAGACAGCATACAAGATTCTGCCTTGTGGGCAAGAGAGCTATATACTACGACTGACAACCAACCTATCACTAATAGAGTAACAGTGATCAATAGTCAACAAAGGATAACTCAAGTCATCTAATGCAAGATACATATCAGTTCGATCTACTGAACACACTTCTGAACGATCTATATTCAGAATTCCTCCGAATGCAGTTGAGAAAAAGTTAACTGCACAGTCTGCACAGTTGACAAATTTTATGCATGTAAAAAATGTATTTATAAAGAACCTAAAATGGAGTGGATAAATCAAAACTAATAATGCAATGTAATACAACTATATTCCACTAATAGAATAAACTGTGATTCCTCAAACTTTTCTCTCCTTTGGTTTGTGCCTCATAGCTTCCTTAGCCTAATCGCTTTGGGTGTAACCTGTATAGGAAACAATAAGCGCATAATGAAAGACATCATACAAGATTCTGCCTTGTGGGCAAGAGAGCTATATACTACGACTGACAACCAACCTATCACTAATAGAGTAACAGTGATCAATAGTCAACAAAGGATAACTCAAGTCATCTAATGCAAGATACATATCAGTTCGATCTACTGAACACACTTCTGAACGATCTATATTCAGAATTCCTCCGAATGCAGTTGAGAAAAAGTTAACTGCACAGTCTGCAGAGTTGACAAATTTTATGCATGTAAAAAATGTATTTATAAAGAACCTAAAATGGAGTGGATAAATCCAAACTAATAATGCAATGTAATACAACTATATTCCACTAATAGCCTCTAGCAGAGCTACTGATAGCTTAAAAAACTGTGATTCCTCAAACTTTTCTCTCCTTTGGTTTGTGCCTCATAGCTTCCTTAGCCTAATCGCTTTGGGTGTAACCTGTATAGGAAACAATAAGCGCATAATGAAAGACAGCATACAAGATTCTGCCTTGTGGGCAAGAGAGCTATATACTACGACTGACAACCAACCTATCACTAATAGAGTAACAGTGATCAATAGTCAACAAAGGATAACTCAAGTCATCTAATGCAAGATACATATCAATTCGATCTACTGAACACACTTCTGAACGATCTATATTCAGAATTCCTCCGAATGCAGTTGAGAAAAAGTTAACTGCACAGTCTGCACAGTTGACAAATTTTATGCATGTAAAAAATGTATTTATAAAGAACCTAAAATGGAGTGGATAAATCCAAACTAATAATGCAATGTAATACAACTATATTCCACTAATAGCCTCTAGCAGAGCTACTGATAGCTTAAAAAACTGTGATTCCTCAAACTTTTCTCTCCTTTGGTTTGTGCCTCATAGCTTCCTTAGCCTAATCGCTTTGGGTGTAACCTGTATAGGAAACAATAAGCGCATAATGAAAGACAGCATACAAGATTCTGCCTTGTGGGCAAGAGAGCTATATACTACGACTGACAACCAACCTATCACTAATAGAGTAACAGTGATCAATAGTCAACAAAGGATAACTCAAGTCATCTAATGCAAGATACATATCAGTTCGATCTACTGAACACACTTCTGAACGATCTATATTCAGAATTCCTCCGAATGCAGTTGAGAAAAAGTTAACTGCACAGTCTGCACAGTTGACAAATTTTATGCATGTAAAAAATGTATTTATAAAGAACCTAAAATGGAGTGGATAAATCAAAACTAATAATGCAATGTAATACAACTATATTCCACTAATAGAATAAACTGTGATTCCTCAAACTTTTCTCTCCTTTGGTTTGTGCCTCATAGCTTCCTTAGCCTAATCGCTTTGGGTGTAACCTGTATAGGAAACAATAAGCGCATAATGAAAGACAGCATACAAGATTCTGCCTTGTGGGCAAGAGAGCTATATACTACGACTGACAACCAACCTATCACTAATAGAGTAACAGTGATCAATAGTCAACAAAGGATAACTCAAGTCATCTAATGCAAGATACATATCAGTTCGATCTACTGAACACACTTCTGAACGATCTATATTCAGAATTCCTCCGAATGCAGTTGAGAAAAAGTTAACTGCACAGTCTGCATAGTTGACAAATTTTATGCATGTAAAAAATGTATTTATAAAGAACCTAAAATGGAGTGGATAAATCCAAACTAATAATGCAATGTAATACAACTATATTCCACTAATAGCCTCTAGCAGAGCTACTGATAGCTTAAAAAACTGTGATTCCTCAAACTTTTCTCTCCTTTGGTTTGTGCCTCATAGCTTCCTTAGCCTAATCGCTTTGGGTGTAACCTGTATAGGAAACAATAAGCGCATAATGAAAGACAGCATACAAGATTCTGCCTTGTGGGCAAGAGAGCTATATACTACGACTGACAACCAACCTATCACTAATAGAGTAACAGTGATCAATAGTCAACAAAGGATAACTCAAGTCATCTAATGCAAGATACATATCAATTCGATCTACTGAACACACTTCTGAACGATCTATATTCAGAATTCCTCCGAATGCAGTTGAGAAAAAGTTAACTGCACAGTCTGGAGAGCTAACTCCCCTGGGGTCCCATGTGATAGAATAAGTTTATAAATAGTTCCTTAAAACGGGATACTTCTTCAGCAGAGTGTCTTCAAGGCCTTTGAATACAGCATACAAAACTATGAAGAACTTCGGCACCCTTGCTACATAAGATCTGAGCTCTTTCGGAGACAAATGTCCCGATGTGGAGGGATATTCCAAATGATGACTTATAACATTGTGGTACATACGCAATAGCCCAGACATCTCATTCTCATAATCTCTTTTCCTACGCTTTGCCGACATTTGTGTGATCCTATCGTCAACCATATCAAACCATCGCTCACCGTCGCTTAACACGGAAGCGCCGGCTCTGTTGAGACGTTTCGTAACAATAGAATCCTTCTCTTTCTCGACAATTTCGCTGGCGTACCTAATAAACAACAAGGACTTTTCATCCCCCCAAAAAAAGGGGTGATTCAGCGCCTCTTCAGCTCTGAGCCTGTCAAAACATTTGTAATCAACACCAAAAACTCAAGTTTATAACTTTCTTTTTGACAATATTTAGTGCATTACCTACGTGATGGACTCGGGTGAACAAGCAAAGTTAAAAGGTGTCTAGCCTCTTCAACATTTAGACAATTTTCATTCAGTATATAAATGTTAAAATGGATCTGATCTTTAGGCAACTCTCCGGCCAGTATGTGATAAAAGATCAAACCAACTTTATGCATATCTATTTCCTTTCTTCGGTGACTCCCATGTATAGCAGCCTCTATGCTAGATATCTTAGCTTTAAACATTGACTTTTCTTTCACAACTAGAATGTTGTCGTAATTCAAGTTTGGCAATGTGATGCCTCTCTGGTGCAAATACATCAAGCCTAGAAGAATACCCCTATTATTTATGGAAAAGATTAAAGGTTAAACAACTCTATATTTAAAAAATTACAAACACAATCAAATTATTAATGAAACACAAACCTCATAATATCAACGTTGTTCGTGTGAATATACGGTAACGCAAAAAATTCTTTTAATGTCATGTTTGGTTGAGCCAATGCACATAATATGCTTTTCAACACAAACTCGATGCACAAAACCCTAATGACATTGTCATTATCGTCACTTCTACATATTCTAATCAGCACATCTTCATCAATACAGTCCTTTGCAAAGAGAATGATACGTGCAGGGCGGAACCTATTAAAGGTTCCGGTGTATGGCCCTACGTGCCCACTACTATAGTTGAAAATTATGATATTAGAACCAACTTGAAGGGTGGAAGAGGTAGAATACGGTCTTCGAAATGATTTTTGAAAGCCTTGACACGAATGTCATCTAAACCGGAATCTTTTGTTTACACCTCTCTGCACAATGCATGAGGTAATGAGAGAGCTGTAAAAATTAAGTAATTAAATATGTAAAATATGAGGAGAAAACTTAACGTTCAACATCAACTATCTCAAACATTTCTCAAGCTGAAGAAAAAGTAAAACCATATATCAAAGATTTATGCCTTGTTTACTTCTTTTTTCCTGTTTTGTTCTCTTTTTTGTAACTTTCCAATTTGGGAAGAAATATAGCTGTGTGAGTAAATCAGTTGATGACTGACACAAGTTTTTGACTAAAACAATCTGGTTAAAAGGACATTCAACTCATCAGCAAGCGATTTAGGTCCTATACTCCTATAAGCAAGCATAATTGTACTCCAAAAAAAGGAACACTTAACAGGCAGTAATTAATATAGTAAATATACTAATGCACATGTTTCTAAAATGCGGGCATAATGTTTTTTGCAAGTATTGATCTAGAGCATTGACGGTCTGGGTACCAACCAACATATGAAAAGGTGCATCCAGATTGGCAGTTGGTGGAGGAACATGGCGTACAATTGTATCGAACAATTCAGACATGTCTTTGGCATTGTTTGGTGGACTCTTTGTATAAGCCGATGAAGCCCATCCTTCTTTAGCAGAGGCATAAAGAACAGGAAAATCTAATTGTTCCTCTGAAAATAAAGGAGGGTAACAATGAAGAAAATAACCACTGATATCATATGCCCATCACAACTATATGCGGCTATGCCTCTACATAAATAAAATGCTTTTACCAGATAAGGATTAAATTCAATGACATAAGAGCACAAATATCATGTCATACAACCTGAAGCTCCCAGGTTCGCAAAAAGGTCAAAGACAAGAATCCCAACTTCATTGCATCGCTCTTCAGTAACTGCAAGAAATTAATTCAAATTCACTAAAGTCTTGTGCATTGGGCACAAGTCAAAGAAAAACTGAAGATGCTAATAATGATCATGTTTTCTGAGCATTTAACATTAGTGTGATCTTGAATTCAGTCTCATCGCACGTATTAGAATATAAATATTTCATTTGTTGTTGTTAAGTACAAAAGTTTTCAAGTAAACGATATTAAAATATTAGTATTTTATCAATGGAAATTTTGACTGAAAGTGGCAATCTAAATCTGAAATTCAGCATTTCAGAGATTTTTTTTTGAGCTATTATTGTAGCCAGATCAGCCTTACATTGCTTGGATTTGAATCAATTTTGTATTGTTTTAATGATGTATCCCCGCTCTCAAGCCTTACTTTTCTAGGTTCCATCCATCATCACTTTACACAATAAATCATTCTTCATCATCATCATTACCTCAGTGCCGCCAAGGCTCCCACCTATGGTGGGGTAAGGGGGGTTGGATGTACACAGCCTTACCCCTGTACTAAAGCACAAAGAGGCTGTTTCCGGATGACCCATGGTCAAATTCTAAATTGCATGAACAGACTGCTACATTCCATCATAATCTCAAGCCATTGCAAATGATGGAAATTAACACAAGAAATCATTGTTCAGTTGAAAACAAATGAGCAATTTTAACATATTTGAAGTATAGTATACAATGTTAAATTGGTTGCTACATGGTTGACTGGTTGTCTGTAAAAAGCAACAAGAACAACCCCACAAATTTGCAGGGTCCATGTCAAATTGTGAACTATTAGCACCTAAAGAGACGGTAGATGAAGAATAGGACCATAGATACCTGCAGGCTTGTCTACTTTGTTTAGAAGAAGAACAGGACGTAAACCATATTTCAAGGCCTTGACAAGAACAAATTTTGTCTGTGCAAGTGGTCCTTCACATGCATCAGCAACTAGGATTGCTCCCTCGACCATGCCAACTACACGCTCAACCTATGCCAAGGAAATTTTAAAGGAAAAAAAAACGGTTTAGTTCATGTCAGCCCACAAAACTCCAATAGAACATGTATGTACAGGAGATTGAACTTTAAATTAATTCCCTAAACAAGCAAGAAAACTTGTGGCGCATAGAATTTTCCAATGGTAGACAGGTGCATACTTCACCACCAGAGTCTGCATGTCTAGGAGTGTCAACCATGTTCAGCTCATTTTTTTCCCATGATAGAGAGGTAACCTGTGAGCAATAAAAAACATATCAAATGATATAGGTATGCCTACACACAGAAACCTATAATTCATGACTCTTCCGGAATATGGTCAGCTACACATGATGAATGCACTCATTGGCAAGTCTATGGAGTTGTTTTACTTAAAACTGAAAGAATTACACATTGTGCATCACATGCTATGTTAATTCATTATGCTATATCAAATCGTGTACTCACTACTGAATAGATCCTGTGCATGGCATAGTGAGATACTAATTTTACTTAAGGAAAGAGAAAATTATTATTTTGTAATAGTTTTAGTGTACAGTAAGTAGTGCTCTACACCACTAGCTCAGATTCTCAGAAGGTATACCTCCTAAAAAATATCATCACGCCAGCACAGGCGACAGCTGTATGACCGGCCTTATCTCATCATTGCCGGTGGAATCAAACAAATTGTGCCAGTTTTTCCGAATAAGTTTCTTAGTTTAAGAAATCAGCATTAAGAAATAAAAAAAGAACAGAGTGAGTGAAAAGTCTGCAATACTGGAGAAATATGTCAAAGGACTCATTACGGGGGGGGGGGGGGGGGGGGGGGCTTAAGGAGAGCAGAATTCTCAATTAACTTGAATAGATAGTAATTAACTATAAGAATCAGAATTGGCTATATATGTGGTGCAAACAAAGCCAAAAGAAATTTCACCTGATCTCTCTTATTTTCCAGGAAAAGAGTTCTTGTGAGTTGGGATTGATAAAATCATACGTGTATATTGTTGTATGATTTAGTGACTGCTAATATTTATTATTTAATTCAACTTCGTTTTTCTCCTAGTAGTTAAAGTGTAAGCTTACACTAGTCCCATTGCATTTCTTCTTATCTTGTATTATACTACGTACTCCGTAATATATTGTAACTATCACCTAATCATTATGATCTCACCATCTGAAATATTGATTCTTATGTGAGATTTTACTTCATTTCCCGAAGTTTTATTAAAGCCAGATTGTGAAGAGCAATAAAATGTTTTCATCTTTAAAAGTAAAATGCGGACCTTGGAAGCAGTTGTGATACCACGCTCGCGCTCGAGGCTGATAGAATCAAGAGCACGCTCGGGTGGGATGTCAGCGCCGCACGGGCGGAGGAGCCGGTGCATGAGAGTGGTCTTGCCGTGATCGACATGAGCTATGACGGCGACGTTCCTCAGCAAGCCAGGATCAACCGCACCGCCAGGGGTAGCTGCAGGCGCTGTAGCTGTGGCGGCTGAGAAGGCCCGGGCAGATCTAGTAACCCGTGCATAGTTGTGTAGGATGGAATCAGAGAAGAATGTGGAAGGGAAAACTCTTCTAGAAGATGACCAGAGAGAACGGAGCAATGCACCCGCCATTTCTGCACAGTATCGATGCTTGCTTGGGGCGTTACAGCAGCTTAAGCACTTGCTTCCTCTACCGCAACAATTTCAAGTTTGAGTAGAACTGTCATAATTTTTATTCCAAAATAAAAATAATTACTCTCAAGTTTGGAAATTACTGCCATGTTTGAAGTTTGTTATTATCAAAACATGACAGTAATTAGTCTTATATTGGGAATAAAAACATGACAGTCATATTTTGGAATTTTTGAACCTTTTTAGTCCTATTTCGGGATATCTTGGGATAATTACACCTAAAACTTAAAACTGAATCGGTTTTCCAATGTATGACATAACTTGTTTTTTTTCTCATAATAATATTATTATTCTTTACATTTAATTAAAATTCGTAATTAATTATTAATAATTAATTTTCATGGAAAAATATACCATTTTGCTTATATTTATAAAACCCTAACCTTCTACCCATTTTCTACAACCCAAGATTCAACTTCCCAACACTCCCTTTGCAGCCACCGGTCGTCTAACCGCCCCACCATTCAGCTGCCGCCGCACATCGTCCAGCCTCTGCCGCAATTTTGAAGCAATGAAGAATCTGCCGATCTTCAGTCTACTGGCCTGCAAATTGAGATTGCGATTGGAGAATATACTTTTGAGATTAGGTTTTAGATTGAATTTGGGGTTTCTGGACATTAAATATGGGCATTGAACACTATCACTGAATATTTCAATAAGTGTTGTGGATGGTGTATATATATATATATATATATATATATATATATATATATATAATATATATTGGTTCCGGTGAGAAATTCATCTAATGTGAGAAATGAGAAGGAATCACATCCCTTGGATCTTCACAAATCATACGTTTGCTGCAGGGGTGGTTTAGGTATTGCACTTATTGTTTCTATTTTAACTTATGACCGATTAATCGATCCCTACAATTTCGATCGTTTATTTCTTTCCTTAGCAACGCACGACTTCTCTCTTTCCATTCTTTCCATTTGTATCTTCGTTTCCTTCAACCGAAACGATTGATTTTGCTCTCAATCAGAAGCATCTTCTTCATTAGGCTTCTTCATAATCTTAAAAAGTTCCTTTTCTCTACCCGTCATCATGGAACCAGGTTCATACATTATGTTGTTGTTTTTCTTCTATCTTCCATGCGTACTGTGTTGCATTTTCATTTTAATGCTGATATTCGTCTTGTATTTCTCTAAAGTTGTTTTTTAGCTAAATATTTGTGAAATGGCGTTTTTTGCATTCTTCATTGGAATATTTGTTGAACTTTTCTCTAAAGATTTATTTTCACTGCAACTTATTGCAGTATGATTAATCATCTTTATTGGCTAAATATATTATTTATTCATCTTCATGAATTTTTTACCTTGCACGTCTTCATTTTATTGTGTTTAACGTTTTTTAACTTTTTGGATGTCAGAGCAAGAATATATTTCTGGTTCTAACCATATGCATTCTCAAAGTCCAACACATTCCTCCGAGCCTATCCAGCTAACGGTGTGTCCATACACATCAAAATATTGGATTCCAGAATGTGATGAAGCTTACAAGCCTAATGTTGGCATGTTATTTGCTTCTCTGCATGACGGCATTGAATTTTATAAACATTATGCGTCTGTGTCTGGTTTTACTACTCGCATAAGTACCATATCAAAGGCTAAAGACGGCATTCTAGTTTCTCGTTATGTGCTTTGTAACAAAGCCGGTTTTAAAAAACCAAAACTTGTGAACAATGAAATGAGACCACCAGAAAATACTGAAGGTAAAAAGAAGTGCACGAGACGTCGTGTTACCAATAGATGTGGATGTATGGCCCGTGTTATATTCAGACTTAATGGGACTGCAGGTTTCAAAGTTTCATTTTTTCAAGAATGCCATAATCATCCCATGTCTTCTGTTGAGTCAAGACCCTTCTTGAAGGTGAATAGGAATCTTGACATTGGTCATCAAAAGTTCATTTTGAACTGTTCAAAAGCAAACATAGGCACAATGAAAAGTTATAAGTTATATAAAGAGCATGTTGGTGGATATATGAACGTTGGTGCTACCGCCGTAGATTTTAAAAATTTTAAAAGGGATTTGAAAGCATATTTTGCTGGAGCAGATGCACAAATGCTTGTTGATAAGTTATTTAGAAAACAAGAAGTTTCTCCTGCTTTCAGGTTTTCTTATGATGTTGATGAAACTGACCAGTTGACTAGACTGTTCTGGATTGACCCGACTGCCAGGAAAAATTATGCGCTCTTTGGTGATGTAATTTCCTTCGATGCTACTTTCAAGACGAACCGGTATTGTTTTTTATTTTAGCATTATTATTGTTTACATTTATGTACTTGCATTTCGTTGTTCTCTAAGTTGCAGTGGTATTTCATGTTTAGTGCAGTGCAGATACTTATTACGATTATGCATTACTAACATTTTTAATCACAATTGCTAACATTTTAATTTTACCTTTATTTCATGTATGAGTTTATGAATTTTTGTTTCATTATATACTCAAGCAAAGAATATGTTTACGAGTGTCTACTTATCTGTGTTTTGTCAGTTTTCCTATATTTGCACCACAACAATTGTACTTGCATTACGTTGTTCTCTAAGTTGCAGAGGTACTTCATGTTTAGTGCACTGCAGATACATATTATGGTAATGCATTAATAACATTTTCTATAATCAGGTACAATATGGTGTTTACACCGTTTACCGGAGTTGATAACCATAAAAAATGTGTTACTTTTGGAGCTGGTTTGTTGCTTAAAGAGGATGTGGAGTCTTACATTTGGGTGTTTCGTTGTTTTCTTGATGCCGTGGGTCGTGAGCCAAGTTGCATCATCACGGACCAAGACCCGTCTATGCGGATTGCAATTGAAAAGGTATTCACGCGTGCTCGTCATCGATATTGCATGTGGCATATCATGTCCAAGCTTACTCAAAAAGTTGGTCCTGTGTTAAGCAAAGATGAAGATTTTTTAAAAAAGATTAATAGTCTTGTTTGGAGCCATTATATTGAGCCAGATGTCTTTGAAAAACATTGGATCTCAATCATGGAGGAGTTTGACCTCTCTGATCACCCCTGGTTTTCAAATCTTTTTCAATTGCGTCAGTTTTGGATTTCCTCATATTTTCGAGATTTGTATATGGGTGGGTTAGTTCGAACAACATCTCGGTCTGAAAGTGAAAACAACTTTTTTGGGGAATTTTCAAACCCCCATTTCAGTCTGATCGAATTTTATATGCAATTTGAGAGCGCTATGGATTCGCAGAGACACACATTTGCTAAATTAAACTCTGGTTCAGAATCATTTATACCCGTGTACAAGACCCCCTTGGCTATTGAACGTCATGCATCATCACTCTACTCCCTTTCTGTTTTTTATTTAATTCAAGATGAGATCTCTTCAGCATGCTTCGGTTGTCACGTTCATAGGTTGACTGCTACTAATGCTTCTCGTGAATATGTTATTACGGACGACCGCAATCTGACATTTACTATCTCACTTTCCAATGCTGATATGATTACTTCTTGTACTTGCAAGACATTTGAAAGGATTGGGATGTTGTGCCGTCATATATTTTTTGTTTTGAAGGACGTCAAGCAAGACAAGATCCCAGATAGGTATGTTTGCAGTCGTTGGTGCAGGATTGCTCTTGTTCAACCAATGTATGAGCTTGAAGGGGGTTTGATCGAGCAATGTGTTGAGACTGATGAAAAGAACATGTCCATGAATCAACTTTGGTCTGAGATTTACTCGTGTATTTCTATAGTCGAAGATCAGCCAGTCCTTCTTCAACAATTCGTGGATTTACTAAAACAGCATAAAGAAATGCTGCAGTCTTCTTCCCCAATGAATAATGTCATTCCCTCAAAACAGGACATGTTTGCATCGTTTTTGGGCTCTACTGCACCAACCAATGTCACTGTTCTACCACCACAACAGGCCAAGAACAAGGGTTCTGGTAAAAGACTGAAAGGCAAGAAAGAGCTTATGATTGATGCAACATCAAAACCTAAACGTCTTTGTAGATCCTGCAATGAATTGTGTCATCATGATAGTCGAAATTGTCCGCTCAACATGTCTTCCTAGTTTTTATTTTTTTTAATGCAACACTTTTACACTATTACTTCATTACTATTACCAGTTTGGTTTTCATTGTTAACATTGTCACATTTTGCGCATTAGTAAACTTTCTTTGTTCGTTTTATTTCTATTGTATTGCATTATAACAAGTACTTAGTAATTTATACGGCAACAAACTCATTACAAATGTTGCCAAAGAGATTGAGTATAGTGCAAACTACATTTTTAAATAATTATTTATACCTTTTTCTTTATTATGCAACTACCAGTAAATCAACTGCTCAAATCAATATAAGATTCAAACACTCACATGTTAAAACCAACGTGCATTCATTAAACCAAAATATCACGTACAAGTCCTAAATAAAAATGTTACTTCACCAGTAACAACAGAATAATATCCTTAATCCTCCTCTTTACGAATATTGGTAAACAGATTGAGTATAGTGTGAACTTCATTATTTTACCTTTATTTATACACTTTTCTTTATTAAACAACTACCTGTAAAACCATTTTTCTAAACAAATACATTCACTATTTGTTCTAAGTTTGCATCATAATAACAAACACATTGCACCCCATCAAAACATTGTTGCACCAGTACTTATTCCTGGCAGAAAGCAAGATTATTTGTTCTTAAATCATCTCAAACTGCATTAAATTAGGCGTTCGTAGCACTAAATTTAGCATGTCATGCAACCTTCAAGCATCTGTTTTATCATCACAAATATCATTCGCTGCACTACAAAGTATCATTCCATCTCACCTTCAATCATCTTATTTTGCACCATATGTAACATTATGTGAAAAACATCTGCATTATGTGACTACATGTATACCAACTGCTCAAATAAAAATCAAATGCAAACAATCACATACAAAAACTAACATGTAATCATTAAACCAAAATATCATTCAAAATAAAGCATCATTCAGGTTGCATTGTTTTGTCAACTCTTAAAAAACACTTCACCAGTAACAACAAAAAATATTCTTAATCCTCCTCAAAACCCCTGCATCTTTCATCCCTGATTATTTTTTCTTTTTATCGTACTCATGCGTAGGAAGTATGGGCTTATGGCTCTGATACCAATTGTTACGGACTTAGCCCATACTAGGCCCATAGCAGTGCCATAAGCCCATGTGTAGAACTCACTCCTAAAAGACCAGCCGATTAGGAGGAGGGAACACATTGCTTATAAGCCACCGGCCAAGCCCATACTTGACCGGTGTGGGATCATAACAGTGCATCACATGGATGACTTTAATGGTCCGCCAAAATCAACCATGCTTCCATGGCTGAGTAATGAATTTAGAATGTGAATTACCAATGATTAAAAGGTTAAGTGACGTGTCCAATCTCATAGGGAACTGTTTTCCATTTTACATTATGTCCCATCACCAAATACAAAACCCACTTTGGTACGAACTAGTCAAAAGAACAAGAGATTCTATAAACAAACATAAAGAAGCAATGATTTATCAATCAAAACTGGTACTTGGAGGGGTAAAAAAAAATAAAAAAACGTCGTGAATTTCTATGCAACTTAGAAATCAGGGACCAGCTCTACTTCACCTACATACATATTATATTACACACAAAGAAGGGACCAGGACCAAATTACATATTACATATATGATTATATATGACTATGTTGATAAGTGTGTTGAACATGTTTGGGCCAAAATAAGGTTCAACTGTTAATCGATAAAGCGTCTAAGGACTAAGGACCCATCATTTCATTCATTGTAGTGATGGCATCATATAACATGAGTGGATATATGGTTTAATAAAAATATATACTAATAAATATGGGAAGATTATATTGTTCATGTTGGTTAAGTGTACGAGATAGACTTCAAATGAGATCCATCATTTCATTCATTGTAGTGATGGCATCATATAACATGAGTGGATATATAACACACAATAAACATGAAGAAAATAGCCTCTAAGGAGTAAGGACACAGCCTCTCAAAAGGAGTGGTTATAACTGTACCTTTTGATCTTTAAGCAATTCCACTTATGCCAAGTGGCAAGTGATTTTAATTAATTAGTCCAATAATCTAGAAACAAGCTTTATGGGTGCAAGGGATCATTTGTAACTTGTAAACATGTGTACCTTTAGTGAGATTACTAAATAAATGTTGCACCCTATTTAAACTGGATCCTATTTTTGGAGCAGAGGGGAAGTATAACCAAAGCAAATAATGAAATAAATACCTCTCCCCAAACTTCCACGTTGCATGTCACTAAGAATGCGATCAATGCTCCACTCCGCATATCCCTTTATCGGTGTAGTATGGGGAAAAAGAACTTTGACCACACCTACTCTACCATATTGAGCTGCCACCTGTATTGGTTTCCTTGGTTTCCAAACATCCTGCAGATTTCATGCAAAGTGAATCAGAGTATCTACTTACACGTCTTTATGTGACCAATCATCGTACACTTTGAAGAGTGTATAGTTTGGAAATGAATGCAAGAGAGCATGTAACCCAAACTAAAATGGTAAACCTTCCACCGATCGTGCACTCCGTCCAAAGTCAAATTAAAGCTCAAAAGTGACATGACTGGCCATTTTTTAAAATGCACTTATATGGCTTGGGCTAGTTTTGAGGCATGCTTCAAGATGAGGCGTACAGAGAAGGTTTCAAGGTTTAGGTTTTTTTGCAGGCTTGAGCCTTGAGGCATTTTTCTGAGGTGGCTTTCCTTTGTTTCTATCTATTTAATGTCTTGTCACTTGAAAAGGCCTAGTGTTTTTTGATAGACCCAAACATTTAACATGTGTCTGTACTAAACCCTGCCAAGTCTTGTTTCAATTAAAATATTTCAACCCTAACATTTACTTTCTATTACACATTTTAAGTGTCATTAAAAATTATTCATACAGCATACTTCAGAACCAAGAAGTCAACAGAGCAGATGGGTAACCAAGGAAAGATAAGAAAAATAAACAAGTAATGAAAGTAAATGATGATGAAGAAGAAAAAGAATTTTAGGATTTTCATAGCAGAAGGGATGACGGTGACAAGACTACAACACATATCAATTCTTCCCAAGACCTTCAAGTCATGTGACTGTTTAGTGTTTGAGACTTTCTGGACTTCTATTCATAGTTGTCGATGATGAGGAATGGCAGTGTGGCTGTTGCCATGTCAATTGCGTCATAACATTAAACAAATCTGAACATGTTTGCTTTGTAAATTTTGGGCTTTTGGCCCTGATAAATACTTACATAATCTGCCAATCCATAATATTAATAAAACCCTAATAAGAAATTAATGTCAGCCCATTGTATTAACAAAAAAACGTGATAAATATAAATAAATATACAAGTAACGTAAAAGACAAAGCTGCTGAAGTAAACGTAAAAGGAGTCTGAAACTCTGGGCTGCACAGTTTAACCATGGAGCCGAGGATTTCTACTGCCTTTGCCAAGAAGCTTTGTTAGAAACTCAAAGAAAAGAACAACGACTCTTGGTGTAAGTGTGTAACTACTGTGGGCATGTTAATAGAGGTGGAATTACTAGGTTAAAACAGCACTTGACCTGGAAGCACCACAACACAAAACCGTGTGAACCAGTCCCTACTGATAAGAAGGCTGAACTGCCGGCCTTAGTTTTCCAGGCAAGAAAAGGGAAAGAATACAGCCAAAAAATGAATGATTTGGTATACATTCGGCAGAGGATTCAGTCCAAGATAATGAGGAGCGTGATAATTCATGATGATTATGGCATAATCATCAATTCATCAAACAAAAACACGTTCACGTGAAACTTTTTTTAGGATATTATGTTTTTGGCACTACTTTTAACTATTATCATTTGCAATGGAGCCAAAGGCTCACCATTTTTTGTCTTGGGAATGTGATAGAATAACGCAAAAATGACTCACTTAACTGTCCACACTTCTTTAATATGCAGCAGTCAATCTATGCAATTTTCACTATCGATCGGAAACAGTCTCTCTGTGCTTTAGTACGGCAATAACACTATGCCTGTGTTTGTGTAATTGCATTTGCTTGTGCTTATCAAAAGTGATTTATTTAAGATATTATTGAATAAGTGATTTTCAGTAAAAATAGGTGGAGTTTGGAAATAGAAGAGTTTTTAGTTAAAAGGTAAATGTTGAAATGTTTGATAAAAAATGATTATAATGTACTCCCTCCGTCCCACTAAGATCTTTCTGCTTTCCTTTTTTAGCCGTCCCAAAAAGAAATTCTCTTTTCCCTAAATGGAAAGTTATCCTACATCAAATAGTGCAAAACAGTGCTAAACAGTGTCAAAACAATGTCAAAACAGTAAATTTTACCCCCCTGGTTAGTTTATTTCCTTAATGTGTGTAGGTCAAACTAGGAAGATCTTAGCGGGACGGAGGTAGTAATATTTTTGGGAACATACATAAATACGCTTGCAACATAAATCATACTACAAAAATACTTTGCAGTTATTTATTCGCAAAGCATGTTGTTTATTCACATAACATTAGCGCAGCCACATCAAATTTAATAGGAGTTTCATTTTAAATCAAAGGAAAAAGAGATCTGCCAGATAATTTGTTAAAAGGAGAACTGTATTTATTCACAATCATCACTTTAGGCATTGAAATTCTAGATTGAACTTATATGAATTATTAACTTTACATAGACATAGATTTTAGAAAAAGAGAGTTTCTAGATAAATGGATACAAAAAGGAATGGAGAAAATTAAGAACTAAAAAATAGAGAAAGATTGAGGGATGGCGATGGCATGGGGAGAAGACAAGCCTGTTTCCCTCTTTTGACGTAGCCGAGAAATACGAACAAGGGTAAGATTGGGTTTGGGAGGAAAATTGAGGATAAACCATTCCCCAAACTTGGAGTTATTAACAATAATCAACAATAATACCTAAAAAAGCAAGTAAAAGCATCATGTGATGTGCTTCGGCTTTTGGCCTAAAATCTCTTTAATTGAAGCTAAAATTTGTATATGCAAACACCCATATGGCCATATCAGCCTTTCTTCCCAAAAAAGCCATAAAGTGATTTCCGAAATCCATAGCAAACATAGCCTAAGTGCATCCGACCCCCTTCCCTTACCCCACCGTTGGTAGGAACCTTTGCGGCACTAGGGTAATGATGACGACGATGACTTTAAACTATTTTAACTTCAAACGAAAATTAATATTCAACTTTTTTTATCATGTTTTGGTGGTTGGGAGAAAAATTATAGCGTCTATATAATTCATAATTTTTGTTACTTTTTTGTCATGGGGTGACGCCATAAATGAGTGATCGCCATCACCATGAAAAATGTCTCGGCATCATGGATGTCGCCATACACCATGACAACTATGCTTCAATTATTGCATATCTTTAGTTGGTTATTACTAGTTTAACCATGGTTGTCACGGCGTCGCCGACTAGGCGCCCTGGCGCTAGGGACTGCCCGCCAGCTTCACTCGCCTCGCCAGATGAAGAATAGCCGTGAACGGGCGTCGTCCAGGCGTCGAACCCTATTACGGTGATGAAGTCCTCACCTTATTGAAAAGTTGGACCCCTATTACGGAGGCCCAGAACCCAAATAAAAATAGATTTAAGCTTTAATTAAAAGCAAGCCAAAGCTGTTTAGCCAAACCAAGTCACAGCCTCGCAGAGTCGCGGGAAGCAGACGAATCGGCAAGTATCACCCTCCTTTAGTCCCTCGCTCGCAAAAGCAGAGTAGCAGACCAGTTCCCAATCCTCGATCACTTCTTGGCTTCAATTTATTAATATTTTAATTAATTAAGTTGTGTGTGTATAATGAAAGGGTGTGTGTGTGTGTGTGTGTGTGTATGTATATATATATGATAGGGTACCTCGAGAAGTTCTTTGGTGGGCCTTAACTAGAAAAGACATTTCAAGCAAGTATATCAGCATCATCATGGATATGTATGAGGATTGTACTACAAGTGTCCGTACTAGTGTAGGGAGAACTACGGAGTTCCCTATTACTATCGGAGTGCACCAAGGATCGGCTCTGAGCCCTTTTTTATTTGCCATAGTCATGGATGAACTTACAAAGTCAATTCAAGACGATATACCGTGGTGCATGATGTGTGCCAACGATATTGTATTGATTGATGAGACGCAATCGGGGGTTAAAGCAAAATTGGAAATATGGCGACAAACATTGGAGAACAAGGGTTTCAGACTAAGTAGGAGCAAGACAGAGTACATGGAGTGCAAATTTGGTGGAGGTAGAAGCAGTGGTAATAGCGGAATTACTTTAGATGGTAAGGAAACACCGGTCAGCGATATGTTCCGTTACTTGGGCTCCATAATTCAGAAGGACGGTGAGTTAGATGGAGATGTATCCCATAGAATCAGAACAGGGTGGATGAAGTGGAAGAGTGTGTCAGGATTTCTATGCGATCGAGGTATGCCGACTAGACTGAAGGGTAAATTTTATAGGACAGCAATTAGACCCGCATTACTGTATGGCACAGAGTGTTGGGCGGTGAAACAATGCCACATTCAAAAGATGAGTGTGGCAGATATGCGCATGCTACGTTGGATGTGTGGGCATACTAGAAAGGACCGCGTGAGGAATGAGACAATCAGACAAAGGGTGGGAGTAGCACCTATTGAAGATAAGATGCGAGAGTCGCGACTACGGTGGTTTGGTCATGTACATAGAAGACCGAGTGATGCACCTGTCAGACGCGTTGAGATGTGTGGAAAAGAGGCAGGGAAGAGAGGGAGAGGAAGGCATAAACAAACATGGGTTAGGGAAGTCAGAAGGGATATACTTCTTCTTGGATTGGATGAGGGTATGACTTTGGAGAGAGCAAAATGGAGGGCAGATATTCGTGTGGAGGAGTGATATCATGTATCGATTCATGTTAGCCGACCCCAATATCGTTTGGGACTAAGGCTTGGTTGTTGTTGTTGTGTGTGTCTATATATATATATATATATATCAATATATGTGTATTCCCAGCCTGTAAGTCTTCTATTTTATTAATCGTATATGTTATAAATTATAAAATAATAAACTATTAAAATAATCATAAAAACTACTCTGTAGTACATAATAATATATACTCCGTACTATGTATAATATACATATTTTGCATAGTATAATTATTGAAAAATGCTAGGGTTACACAAGTTGTACACAACTTGTACACACAATGTCGGTCACAGACATTTGGCACGGAGTTGCCTGTGTTCACAGACAAGAGTTGTCTGTGTACACAGACAAATTTTGTCTGTTTCCACAGACATTTACTTTTTTGCAAAAGTACACTGAGAGCCGCCGCCTGACACTGACAAGTACTTTTTACAAAAAAAAAAAATGTCTGTGAAAACAGACAAAATTTGTCTGTGGACAACTGTTGTCTGTTGTCACAGGCAACTCCGTACCAAATGTCTGTGACCGACATTGTGTACAAGTTGTGTACAACTTGTGTACCCCTAGCATTTTGAGCTCAGAACCAACCTAATCTAAACAATTTACAAACATTTTTACAAACTAAACTATTACACCAAAAGTGTGTAATTTCTAGAGTAACAATCACTCAAAACTAATCAAAAACACAATTATAAACACGGAAATAACATGAATGTCAATTGGCTGAGGTTAAGGAAGAAGATCATTTTAGCTGTTTTTCATATATATATATATATATATATATATATATATATATATATATATATATATAGGGTAAGGTTCAAGTGAGAAGAACCCTTTGGGTGAGAAATGAGAATGAATCTCAGCCATTGGATTCGACTAAGTTGCAGTAAAAGACACCTCATGATGCACTGAATTATGCAATCTAGCACGGTGGCATTTCTGTAAATACTTATGAAAAATCCGTATTACACGTGTCTAGTGCAACATGAAGCTATTTCGGTGCAACGCCGTCAAATATTAGTGCAACATGAAACAGTTTTAGTGCAACATGTGCAAAATTTAAATATTACATCAACATAAAGCCAATTTTAGTGCAACTTCGTAAATCCAATGGCTGAGATTCATTCTCATTTCTCACATTAGATGCATTTCTCACCTGAACCAAAATCAATATATATATATATATATATATATATTCTTTATTTTATTAATAAAATATAATTTAAATATAAGTTTTTCATAAATCAGCAGAATTAATCAATACAACCACTTCAACCAGAACTTCATAAGTTTCTGCAGCATAAGCCTATCTAGGCGATTTGAGTATTAACAAACATGCCCTAAGGCTCTCATTATATGTCTTGGTCTTGGTTAGGCTTTTTCACAAACACAGTAAAAATGTTTTTTTAGTATTCATTCGTTTTGCTATATTGAAACTCGTGTTTTGTAAGTTGAAAGTTTTTTTTTTGAAGAGGAAAGCGCCTATATTGATATCATTATATTAGAATCAAGATCGTTGCATCAATGTCAAAATGACCAACACTGACTACAACCTTCACCTTCCAACTACTACTTATAGCTCTACGATTAGACATAAAGACGATCACCCCTAAAGGAGCAGTACGAATTGCTAACCATCAGATGGGTTTAATGCAACTATTGTTGAATAAATAGATCTGTCCCCTACTAACCATATCAAATCTACCTGAAGCCTCAGTCATCGTAATAAACCTAGTACCATGAACTTTAACCAAAAACAAAACGATAAGAACAAAGTTCCTTATTAAAAAGCTAAACCTGAATAAAATGAAATTAAAAAAGATAAACGGATGGATCAGATGACCCATGACGGCGGCGGGAACCATAGTCTCACAGATCCTCCATGGAGGCGGTTCAGGAGGGGGCCGAATCATCATCACTTCATCTTCACCCTCCATCGCTCGGATCCCATTCGCAGCCTTGACGCTGTAGCCTCCACCAACAAAAGTCCGTCCTCATTAATTTGACAAGAGAC